CTGTAGCCCCGCGGAAACGATGGTACAGTAAACAGGAGCAACTCGTCCAGCACAGATACACGGCCTGTTAGCCATAGACCCGTAGTATACAGCGTATAAATTATGCAAGCTAAGTTTGACAGATTAGATCCGTTAACTCGTAGGCTGGAACATTTTCGCCGCTAAATCATTTTTCTATCTATCTACAACCAAGACTATCATTATACCCGGTGCAAGCACTACGTCCACATCATATCAGCAAAGGAAAACGCTGTACCACCGACCATTTTCCTCCATCTTTTCAAGGCACACCGTCCATTATTTATCCCCGTGAACTAGCAGCAGTACATGCGATGCGCGTACCCCTACCCCTACCCCTACCCCAACATGTGAACGCGGAAGATCAGTCCACAAAGTGTCATCCTGTTCTACGATCGGAAGGTCTAGAAGTCGAATCAGGCTTCCGTTGGAAAGAAGCATGGTGGTGAGTGGGTTATCTGAAGAAAAGCCTCCAATTGGAGGGGGAGATCGGTAGATGCTAAAAATAATCGAGGCCACTAGCTCATGGCTCCATCACCCCCCCAACCCAACTCACATGCATCACTGTCCCGCTGCCCCTTTATCCATAGTTCTATGGCACTTGTTGCAAGTTAACAACTGTTGGCATGAGAGCGATCAAAGGGTTGTGTTGTTTGTCTAGACGCGTGCGAAGAACCGGGATGTGTTCCACAAGTGCCGCCAATTAGGTAGGTCTCCATCTCTTTCTCTAATGTATGCTATGTATAGTGTATAGAGAGATCACATGTGGAAGATATGTTGGATGGCCTAAATAATGAAGTGCACCCCGGATCTCTTACAGCATAGTATTTTTCCGAAATAATTGAAAAACCATATTCTTTATTTTAGGGAGTGTGTTTATTGATTTAGGAAGAAAAAAAATCGGCTCTAAAGGGTATGTAATCATTTCCAAAAATAATTCGAGTTCAAGGAGACTGGGGCCATTTTGTAATTTCCTGAAAAATGGCAACTATTGTCTTTTGAGTCTACATTCTGAATTTATGTAAAAATATATATGTGGTTAAATTCTTTTTTGCCTCTTTATTCATTCCGAGGAATGGTCGCTTTATTGAGCTTTTTTAGCTACTCGGATATGTGTAAGATAATAACAAATGAGCAATTTGGTCATCTTTCCCTACCACAGTCACATTACGGTTATTTAGATTTTTCACAAGTTCATTTCTGATCTCGAGATTTAAATTTGAAGGCAGAATAGCACATCGATAGAACGATATTAATGCCATATCAATGTGTTTCCTTGAAACCTAAAGTATTGATGACACCAATGAAGTGAATTTTTTATGTTTCTCCTCAAGTCAGATTTTTTCCTTACCATTCCTTTATTGTCAACTTGCGGGTTGCCCCAAACCAAACAAATGTACTGTAGCTCATGCGTAAACTAAACTGCATCTCCCCGCCAAAAAAACAAACAAAACAAAACTGTATCTAAATATACTTCGTCTGTTTCAAAATATAAAAGGTGTATTAGGCCTCCTTTGGTTTAGAGAAATTTCATATGAATTCTAGAGGATAGGATTCTTATAGGATTTTTTCCTTTAGAGCCCTTTGGTTCATAGGAATGGATTCCTATTCCTACATAGGATTGGTTCCTATCCTCCATATTTCATAGGAAAATAAAAAAGAGCCTAGACTCAATGGAAAAATTCCTTTGGTGTCAACCAAATGACATCTTGTTTCCTATTCCTACTCATAGGATTTGAGATACATGCCATTTTATTTCCTACAAGATTCCTATTCCTATGATAATCCTATCCTATGAACCAAAAGAGGCCTTAATGTTCTGAAAAGTTCAAGTTCTCTAACTTTAGCCAATTTCGTAGAGAAAAATATCAACAACCACAATAATATTGTAGACTTCGATATATTTTTGCTATAAACTCAATTAAACACGGAAAATTTCGATTTTTTTTTACAAAAATCAACAGCCTTATATTTTAAAAAACAGAGGAAGCAGGAAGCAATTTCAAGAAAACAGAAAGAAGTACCCTCTCCGTCTAGGTGTGTAAGTCACCTTACGAAAACCAAATAATCCCAAAACACTTAGGCACCGTACATTAACTCCCTCCTTGTTTCTTGTCTTGTGGCATATCAACTAATAATATATGTGGGCCGTGCATGCTTTCAATGACTTAAAACTACCAAACATAACATGCAGTGATTAGTTCATTGCATGCAATGCTATTAATTAACAAAAAGACATTAAGTTTTCTCGTTTTCCTCTCTGCCTTGATCGCGATGCACAACGTAAGATGATTTACACACCTAGACGGAGGAAGTAGTAGTATGACAACATAAAAAACGCCTCACTTCCACGACAACATACCTGTCGTCAGAAGGACCCAGAATTAAAGTTACTCCTATTTCAAAGTCGAGGGGACCAAAATAAACCCCAAAAATCACTTCACATTTCTAAACTTTTGTTTGGAAGGTAGCAGCAATCCCAGCGAAAATTCCGTAGGTTTCCATGCCGTTGGACACGCAGCAGCAGCCAATCAAGAATCAGAAGAAGATGGGGGAAAAGACCGGCCGAGCACCGGGCCGGAGAATGCGATGCGACCGATCAAAGGCGGACCGCGTCGCGATTTAGCGTTACAGCTCCATTTATTTACGCAAGGGAACAGCTCGACCGCCTAGGAAACCAAGGCCACAAGGTACGTACAAAGACGGAGGGAGGGAGCGCACGGAAGGAGCGGAAGAAGAGTCCAAGAACCCCAATCCCAAGCTCCAACCGGAACGAGTCCTCATTCCCCTCCCCTCTGTCTGTCCCCCCTCGAACCCTCCGCCGGCCGCCCCGGGAGCAGCAGCAGCACCAGGCACCGCGCGGCTGCCTGGCCGCCGGAGGCCTTGACGGCGGCCGGAGGCGACGCCGTGAAGAGCCGATCGATTCTCCTCGTCCGGAGTCCTCACGCGCGCGGAGAAGGTGACGAGATTCGATTCCTTTCTGTCCTTCTTTTCTTTTCTTTGGGGGGTCGATCCGTATGGTTTGGTTGCTGGAATGGCACAGTGATTTGCTATACGGAGTGTCTCCTTCTCCTCCTCTGTGGCCGTTCCTGTTTGAATGGTACAGTTCGTGGGCAGTGGGATATGCTTCGTTATTTTGGGGGGCTCGGTAGTAGTACCAGTATTCGCTTTCTTTTCTTCCGAGCCTTGGATTTTAGCCCGCCTTCGTTTTGCTTGCGCCGCCTGAGATTCAACTGCAAATTTTGCCCATCGAGTTGCGATCGGAGCGCCGGTAATCACCAGAAGCTTCGAACGTTTGTTTCAGGAAAGGGACTTCTTTTTTGTGTTTTTGTCATTTTGAAACGGACGAGCGTTGCTTTTCCCACATTCTAGTAGTAGCACACAACTGAATTGAACACCAGTGCGACCAGATTATCCCCGTTGAATGGCGCCGTTCTGTCGAGATCACTCTGTCTAGTAACTACCAGACGATCCGTTTTCATTCACATCGCATTTACTACTATGGCTTGCAGTTTTTTGTACTCAACCGAGCCAGCACTGGTAACGTTCGGAATCTGTGGCGATGCAGTTAAATTCTCATTTTCATCTGAGACGAAGGGGAGGCGCCGAAAAATAAATCCGTTTCATTTGTTAGCGCTGCCATTTGTGCACAGGAACCAAAAAAGCACCGCAAATCAAAAACGAGAGATCGCTGCCGCATCTTTCTCCCTTTGATTGATGAGAGGAGCAGCGTAAAGACGCGTCTTTAATGGCCAGCCACGCGCCTACGCCCGAGCCCGTCCGGCCGTCGGCGTAGCGGTAGTGGTAGGCGTTAAAATAGAGCAGCCAGCGCGCGGCGGCAGCGCACGTCGCTGGACCCCCGCCCGCGCTTCTCCCTCCGGTGGCACGCAGACGCAGCAGCCAAAGTACTACTGCTACGGCGTAGCAGCTGTTTTTACGTGCCGTCCTCCTCTCCTCTCCTATTCGTATGGCCCTTCTTTTTTACTTTTGTCTCTTTAGCCTTTCTGCGCTGTTTCTAGCTGTTGCTTGCTTGCTTGCTTGCTTCCCCTCGGGATCTGCGCGCCATGCCGCTGCCGCTGCTGCTTTGTGGCCTCCGCCGCCGCCTGCCCGTGTGGGTTGGTCGCCTGCTTCCTCTGCCGGCGCGGCGGGATGCCCAACGTGGGTACGGTTTGGCAGCGCTGTGTTGGTGAGCTGTTGCCTTGTTGGTGAGCAGGACCCCGGTGCTCTGCCATTTTATTTTTAAAGTTGGAGTTGGGTTAGGAGTTGCTAGGTCAGAGGGAGGAGAGCCTGTGCGTCTGTGCTTGTGTTTTCCCCTTGCATCAGGCTTCCTGGCATGGTACGTACGCAGTTTCTTGATGGATGACCAGTTGATCTGCAATGCTGCTTGCTGATGAACTGCGTGATTCGTTTATTTTGAGTTGTCTTGTCCATCCAAGGCCTTGGCGCTTCTTGTTTCGTTGGATTATCATGTGGGAGTGGGGCATCTCTGTGCTCCTCCTCTGCTGGCTGCAGGGCCAGGACTGCTGCACGCCTTAATCTCACTTTCCCCACTTGCATATCAGTGCTTGCCATGAGCATTTCTTTGTACCTGAACAAGTGTAGATAGTATTATGATTGTTGCTGTTATACCATCGCTAGTTTCATGTAATCTAACTGGTTATCTAATTGTACACACATAAGTTTAATGTAATAAATAAAACCATGGGATGTTGGGCTAGAATAGAACTGATAAAGTTGGTCAGCCATCGCTGGATAATTACTTGACATATCGGGTACTCAATCGTTTCTTTTGCGTTTAGTTCATTTCCACTGTACTGTACTTCATGTTTTTCTCATGTTCTCGGCTGCTCTATTCCATGTCGGCAGCCTGACATTTGCGTTGTCAGTTGCAGATGACATTTTGATCACTACTCACCTTTCACACTGGTCGACAAGACCTCTGTGCCGATTGTTTTCTCAATCTAGAAGAAATTTAGTGCGATATGCCAAGATCCAACTCAGACAGGGATGATATCTTCTTTGATGCATTTGATGATATTAGTTCAGCAAGGGAGCCTTCATCATCAGATGATTGTAGTACGAGTGGCGAAGGATTGGCGCCAAGGGAATTTGAGTACGACATTTGGGCAAACGAGCCAATGAGTGTTAAAGAAAGGCGGCAAAGATTCCTGGAGGGAATGGGATTAGATGACTTAGGTTCCACTAAAGTGGATCTTCCTCAATGTCAGGCAGAGATAACAAGTGCTGACACTGGTGCTGACTTGCAGGAAAGGACTGTTATGAGCGACGTCTCTTCTTTGGGTTCATCTATACCTGAGAATGAATCAGCATTTGATGCCGCCTGCTGCATTAGGGATCTGGATAGTGGAAAGAGATATGTAGTTCATAATGGCGGGCATGACGGACTAACTAGCTTTCTCAAGGATGTTGCAACAGATAAGGTGTTGTCTCTTCTGGAGTTTGAAAGCTTAGTTGGTGTTTCTCGATCTGTTCAAAAGTTATTACGAAGAGCATATTGCCAGAGTCCTGCCCTGGCAACAGAGGCAAAAGAGGCTATTGGTGGAAAGAAAAAGGATATCAAAAGCTTGTGCAAAAACTTGATGAAGAAGAGGAGTTTCGGTGGAATGTGCAAGACTGATGTCCATGTAAAAAGCTGCACGACAAGTATACCATCCAGAACAAAAGTTCAGCACCGAAAGAAGAAGAATGCGGAATTCTCTGCTGTCTATATGGGTCAAGAAATCCGGGCTCACAACGGTTTAATTAGAGTAATGAAGTTTAGTCCGTCTGGCTGGTATTTAGCAAGTGGTGGTGAGGACTGTGTTGTGAGAATTTGGCAGATTACAGAAGTGGACGCACATTCTAAAATGTATGGGGGAGAGAACCACTCTCATGAACATGTAGAGAAAATTAAAATCCTAAAACCGAAGCTAGAAGAGGGGCAGGGCCGTGCACTTGCAGTTATGCCAAGCAAGGGTTTTCACATTACAGAGAGCCCATTGCATGAATTGCATGGCCATACAGGTGATGTCCTGGATATGACATGGTCGAATTCAGATGTAAGTTTCTCGTTTGGTTCTCTAGAGCTATCACATTACTTATACTCATACTCAACCTACATTTTGGCCTGAATGATTGTCTGTTAACATGTTTTCATGTATCATGAACATACTCTTAGATTATTATCTTTTGTTACATTTGCTTAATTGCTTACCTTCATTGGCTTGGTTTTGACTGCAGTGTCTGTTGACCTCATCAAAAGATAAGACAGTCAGATTGTGGAAAGTTGGCTCAGATGTTTGTCTTGGAGTATTCAGACACAAAGACTACGGTAAGCAGAAATATCATAAACCAACTGTTGTGTGCTTTTGATGGCCTAGTGCCTTGCCCATTGTTGATTTCTTACATTGTTCTACTGGTTTTGTTGTTTTAGTGGCAAAGAGTCTTATCGTATACTCCAAATTTTGAGCCATTGCAGTTTCAATATTTCCATGAATAAGAACTTAACTTTCCTTTGAAATTGCCAACAGTGACGTGTGTTCAGTTCAATCCTACTGACGAAAGATACTTCATCAGTGGTTCAATAGATGGTAAAGTTCGCATTTGGGATGTTCTACACAAGCGGGTCGTCAACTGGGCTGATACCAGGAATGTTATATCTGCTGTTAGTTACCAACCAGATGGAAAGGTTTGGATCTGATCAAAATGTTATTGCAGATTATTTTGCATTACCGAATACTAATTCATGCTCTCTGTAAATCAGAATTTTGTTGTTGGCACGACTGGAGGAGTTTGTCGCTTCTACGATCAATCAGGTACATAGAAGTCAACACTTACCATCCATGTGGTTTTTGTTACTTTGCATGTCTCTTAGTAATGATATATTATAGTACTCTCAGCTGAGCAGTTCGTTTCTGTAGGTGAAGACATCCAACTAGACAAAGAATTGTTTATGCAAGGGAAAAAGAAATCTGCTGCCAATCGGATCAAGAGTCTGCAGGTGTGATATCTGCCATGATATTCTCTACTGGTAGTATATTTGGAAGTAATTGTTATGCCGATAAACTAATTTGTGATTGGCACTTGGCAGTTATGTACAAGTGATTCCCCTAGATTCCTAGTTACATCAACAGATTCCAAGATTCGAGTTGCTGATGGTGCTGATATCGTCCAAAAGTTTAAAGGCACGTATATTTTTGCAGAAGTTTCCATCCTTCATTGGCTTAGAACGTTTCCGTTTTCACATGTTTACGTTTCATGATCTCAGTGATCCTAACACCATCCTTTGTGCTTTACGATGCAGGGCCTTGGAAGTCGAAGGCTCTTTCATCGCCATCACTAACATCAGATGGCAGATATCTTATATCCACTGGCATGGACTCCAATGTCTACATATGGAATTTTGACAACTCAAGCAGCGCCTCACAGAAAGGTGAAGCCAAATCGGTTCGATCGTGCGAAATGTTCTTCTCCAAGGACGTGACAACCGCGGTGCCATGGCCGGGGGTGCACCAAGACAGGCATGTCAAGCCGTCCCGCTTGCCCGAGAAATCTGCCAGCGCGTCGGCTTTACGCCGCCATGGAGGAGAAAGCCGTTCCCCTGGGACATGGTTCTTCGCGGACGGCATGAGGGGGTCTGTGACGTGGCCAGAGGAGAAGCTCACTTCGGCGAAGCCTGTCAATGGCCCCCGGCTGGCTGACTGTCTCTCGGCGATATCGGCTGCCTGGAACATGGTGATAGTGACGGCGAGCCACGGCGGCGTGATCCGGTCCTTCCACAACTACGGCTTGCCTGTGACGTTGTGAGGTTGTAAGCTTTGGTTATCACTAGTTTCTTCTACTGACGACCTTGAGTTGTTTTTTTGTTCTTCCTCCGGAAGTGTTGGGGGAGTGGTGGAAGAGAGGTTTGGTATAGCACCAAGAAAAGAGGGAATGTTGTACCACGGGGGTCCCTAGCTTCTGAAAAGGAGATTAATCAGTGGAGATGCTCGCTTTTGTCTGCAAGCTCTCTTTTTTTCTTTATGAAAAGGCCTCAAAATTGTTGCTTAGGTTTTTTGTTGCTAGTTCCTCTCTACGAGGTGACTAGCATATGCAACCCTGTTGAAGCTGTTTTCAAAGATGGTGGGCAAAAATCCTTGTGTGTATTTCACTCTTGGAAGACCAGACAGTGCAAGTCCTGATGTTTTGGCTGCATTTAAGTTCAGTTATTGTCAGTCAAGCTGGTGACTGGTGAGGTGAGGTCTCCCACCGGTTGCTTCCAGACTTGCAGTCATGATCATGTGCTTGTTGCGATTCTCCGAGCTGTGGCTATGCGCGTTCGGTACAGAAAGCGCTACTGGAATGTTCCAACTTGCCAACTTGGTGAGTTGGTGGCAGGAAAAGCTCCAACCCTAGTCACGCGGAGCCGCACGTTTCGGTCGGTTCGGCTCGCAGCCGTTGCCTGCCTCCGCCCCATTTTAAAGTTGCAACATTGCACGTTCCTGATGACGACGTTCACGAGATACATGTTTGCTGCTAGGCTCCACACTGACGTACAACACAGGGTGCCAACAGTGAGTGACGGGTCTACAGGCAGTGTATTTGTTTGTGGGCCTGTGCTGATGTTTTTTTTTCTTCTATTAACCATGGTGCTACAAGGGGAGTGTCTGGTTCTCGTAGCAACTTTTGCCTGCATAGCATACAATTTTCAATTGGGCCTGACTGAGGAAAACACGTGAAAAAACATCCGCACCTAGTTTGGTTGGCTGCATACCTTCTAGCCTGCATGGAGCTTAACGAAATGTGGCCTGTTTGGTTGCCCGCTTGTTTAGACGAAACACACAAGGCATGGTGTTTGGTTTCATGCAACACCTGTTGTCTTGTAACCTCTTTGGTGAGGTGGTGAGGTTATCAGCACACATGGGCCTGTAGGACAACCCAAAGACACACACAAAATAGCATATTAACATAGTTTAAAACAATAGCAAGCAGTTTTAAACATAGTATCACACTTAAACATAGCAGTTTTGAAGCAAATCAGTATGATATAGTCGATACTAAACCAGTTGGAGCAACTGAGAGTTGTCCTAGACATTTACGCCGAAGGCGTTCTCGTGCCTCCCGCACTTTGTCACCACTTCAATGCCTTCGTCGTTGAAGAGGATGACCTTCAGCGTGTCGGGAGTCAGCAACTTGAAGGTCACCATGTACCCGATCTTGATCTGATGGACGACGGCGATGGTGGCCCAACCCTAATCGAGAGTGGTCCTGCCGTTCATCAACCTCACAGTGACCCTCCATGAGGAGCCAGTGTTTGTCTTCAGCTTGAACTTCGTCGGCACGGTCAAGAAGTGCTAGGTGAAGTCTAGGGGCATTGGTCCATTTAATCATGTTGACATGTATAATCAAACTGCGGTTGGGGGTTGATCTTACCCAGTAGTTTAAAATCTTAGGATGGACGTGACAACCGCGGTGGCATGGCCAGGATGTCGACTGACCGTGCCGACTCAAGTAGAATGTTAGTCCATTTAATCATGTTGACAACTCAAGTAGAATGTTAGTCCATTTAATCATGTTGTCATGTATAATCAAGACCCACTAATGGGTCCTAGATGCAGTCACAACATAACAACGTAAAATGTCGTACCAAGAGATTTAGAATCAAGGCATATGACTAATGATTTTTCCAATCCAAGCTCGTAGGAAATTTCCTCATGTCTAAGTCGAAGCGCAACTTTTTGTTTAGTGAAAAGTGCATTTTGCACTTACTAGAAAACTAGGTGAAATAAGAAATTGTATTTATTTTAGTAGTTGCACCATTTAGACCAACACATAAGAAAGCCCCGCCCGACATAGATACATACAGGTGTTTTTACCAATGAGAACACTTCCATCCTGCAAAAATCGAGTAAAGGATGCAGTTAATAACGACACAACTGATAGCAAAAAAGATGCAATGGACAAGAACGTAGTTGATAAATATGCAGTTGCTTCTCTATATATGATATGATCCGCATGTTGTGCGTATTCAGAAAAGAAAATGCAGCTGATGATGCAGTTAAGAGTGGTGTAATTGACAATGGTGTCTCAACTGCATTCTTTTTCAAATGTAAATCACATGCTTCAAGTGTATTTTCTGAGCTGATGTTTTGCACTACATATATATCTGAACTGCGCTGATTTCTACTCCTAAAGGACAACTTGGTAGTCTCCATTTCGTCTGTTTTTTTCATCTCAACCTCCCACCTTCATCTGTTTTTTGTCCCTCCTCCCACCACCATCTACCACGCCGGCTTACCTCACAGGATACCCAAAAAACCAGGCGAAGAGGCCCCTCACTCGTAGCAAAAAATAATCAGGCAACAATGATCCGCTCGATCTATTTGCTACGGCCTAGGTCACGTCGCCGTTGCCGCCATTCTGCTCATATGCCGCCACCACCATTCCGCTTGCACGCTGCCGTCACCATCACCCCTCTCGCATGCCGCCGCCATCACCCATCGCAGCTGCTCGGGCATGGAGCTCGTGTGCTGCCATGGCCGCCATGGCATCCGTGGCCGTCAAGAAGGGACCCTAGGCCTCGGCCGTGTCCGCCTGCTCGAGACACGGGGTCACCACGTCCAATGCTGCCAGCACCTCATGGATATGCCTAGCGCCCTCCATGCGCCCGCCGATGATCGGATCGCCACACCATCCTCGGAGGACGATGCATCCGTGCCTCCCCACTGGCACCCCACTGTCGACGGCCTCTCCCCCCGATTTTGACGCCCTGCTAGCGGCCTCCCTACTCGCCACGGGCTCCTACATGCATGATGGTGCTGCCTCTCCATGCATTGAGGATGTCGTGGATGCGACGACCTAGAGACGAGGACTGCATTGCTGCGGCGCCGCTGCCGCCACTTCCTACAGACTCCCTGACTCACAGTGCAAGACATCCCAACTCAAGTCCATCCGGGTAAACGCCACCGTCGCCTTGGTAGGATCTGTCTTTTGCGGCTTGGATCCAGGCGAAAGGGGAGAGGAAGGAGAGAAGTATTGGTCTACGACTCGGGTCATGGGGATGGATGCATCTCTCGGTAATGGTGGATCCAAACTCAGTTCATCTTATAGGCTTAATTTGTACTGTGTCATTTTGTTGAATACGTTGCTCCCCTATTTTATCTACAATCAAGATGCTTTTCCTCTGTGGGGTATGCATATCATCTTCCTTTCGTTTTCATTAGGCCTCCTTTGGTTCATAGGATAGAAATGTTGTAGGAATAGGAAAATCATAGGAAGTGAGATGACATGCATCTCAATTCCGATAGAGAAAAAGATGTCATTTTATGCATAGGATAGGAATTTTTCCATTGAGTCTTAGCTAATGTTTTTTTCCTCCAAAATGTGAAGGATTGATTCCTATCCTACATAGGAATAGGAATCCATTCCTACAAACCAAAGGGCCTCAAAGGAAATTTTCCTCTGCAAATCCTATCCTATAGAAATCCTATGACATTCCTACAAACCAAAGGAGGCCTAGAACTTATCATATTTTGTTTGAGAGGCAGGTACAATGATGGAAAATATTTCTTTTCATCACAAGTATATTTTCATGGGATACAATGGCAATCAGGTTTGTGTTTCATGAACTTTCTTCATATCACTGCTTCTACTTTATGCAGATTGTACAGTGGCAATCAGGACTATTGTATTTCGTTGGTTCCTAAATGATCATTTGGGGTGATATATTACATGTCAGCCGATGTACCATTGTACAGTTGGATAGCTAAATGAGTGTGGTACACACTATTGCAGGTTGCTGCTAACGCGACACTACGATCAGAGACCCTTCGATGAAACTGTGTGCGAGGCCATAATTGCAAACGGTGGTGTAAAAAACGTCAAAAAAGGTGCAAAATGTTTGCGATGGAGGATGCATCGAACACGGTTCAGATTTTAATTGCGTGTGCGATGCAGGGCATAAGGTTCAGCTAAATTAACTGTTTGCGATGAGGAGGAATAAAATAAACGGGCAGCCAGATGAAGGTGTGTGCGATGTACAACATACCGTTCACTCGGATGAACTGTTTGTGATTAGGCAACACAAAAGAAACGGCCAGCCAGATCAAAGGTGTGTGCGATATACGGCATGCGGTTCACTCGGATGAACATTTGCGTTGAGACATGAGAGCGGAAACGGTTCAAATGAACAAGATGTGTGTGATACGAGGCAGACAGGTGTGTAATCGGAAACATGTGCGAAGACCGATAACAACACAGACGGTTACTACTAACAAGCCTTGTGTGTTGTGAGCAAACGATTGCTGGTATACAATTGTGAGTGATTGATGAAAACATCACCAACGGGTTACATTGTTTAGTCCGTGTGCGATGTGATTTTCTTTGTCCGCACAACATCTACGCTCTGTCTACAAAGCATCAACATATATACTTAAAAAGACAACATCGCATAACCAAATTAAGCATACAATTACACATGTGACTACACACATAACATTTCCACACACCAAAGAAAGCAATTACATGCATACTAAAGTAGGAGAAACGAGGATCTAATCATCTACTTATTGTTGTGACGACGCTTGCCATTGCTCTGCTTCCGGCTGGATCCCTGGCCGTTTTGGGGAAGGGAGCACTTCCTCATGTCAACGATCTGCCGGTACATGTCGTAGCTCGTGTACACCTCCTTGCCCGCGTACATGACGTGAGCTTTGTCGAGTTTCTCCATCCAGGCCGAGTGTCGGGCATGCTTGTCCTTGTTGCACGAATCCTTCATGTCTCTGTAGTAGGGGTCGATGATGGCCTCGACGAAGTGAACCAGTGAGTCCTTCTCATGCTCCTTAATCCCCCAAATCTTGTATTAGCCCTGGATGTCGACAAGATTCTGGCAGGCGATGCCCGAATTCTCGAGCGCCTTTACATCGTTGGTGATGTCCACCGTAGCGAACATGTAGTGGGGGCTGTTGACAAACCCGGCGAAACGCTTGCAAGGACTTGTGGCCAGGCAGTAGTGGTAGACGAGAACGTGGTGGTGCACGAACATCTGGGCGATGCGACCTTGGGATGACATCCGACACGAGCGCGGGTGTACTCGAGGTCGAACCCGACCACCTTGTACTTCTCTGCAGCAAGCAACAACTCCGTGATGTGGATGGAGTGCTCCACCCAGACCAGGTCGTTGGTGTACACCACTGAGAGGTCCATGAACCTTCCGTGGGTGTCCACCGCATCACGCATGGTGAACTGCTGCTCGTCGTCGGCAGCCGCTCAGAGCGCCATTGAAGCCGCGCAGGATACCCTCTAAGAATTTCTCGTGTAGGGTGTGCTTCTTGCAATGGTGGGGCGCGATCGAAAAGTTTAAGAGACACAAGGGTTAAATGGCCGCTGTAATAAATGGGGGCCGGCCAGCCTGCAATCATCATGTCTTGTCATGATGTTCATAGCGGAGGATTCCAGTGCACGCTTGACAACACCGCCCCGCACGCGTGGGCTCAAAGAGGCACCAAATATATCGTCGGTGAGCCTATTCACACGCTACCACGCTGTTTACCGCGCATGCTTCCCGCCCCGCTTGTTTGGCCACACGCCGACTAGAAGAGGGACAAATCATGGGCGTTTATTGGCAAAAAGCTTTGTAAAAACGAAGTGTGTGGAATGACTTCGATCATAAGGTTACCCGTGGGTGATGAGGTCAAAGTTACACAGAAGGGTGATGATGGACACTCGAGTGCGATAAGTAATTATGTGCTCTATAGTGCACACGGTGGAAGAAACCAACTGTGTGCAATAATGTCGAAGATCGCAGTCGAGTTAGCTATACAGATCGTGTGCTGTGAGATCGACAAGGTAAACTGATTCAAGATGGTTAATGAAATCTAAGACCATTACATATTAAGGTCAAAATAGTGTTAGCAATATACAAGTCTCATACGATGCCATTTCAACAATTGTACCACAAAAGCTCGAAATGTTACAAGGTTCAAATTCCAGAGTTATATGGCTCAAATTCGAAGGCTACAAGGTTCAAACTGATATTAGAAATGAAATTCAGCTCATCAGCTACAAACGCTTGCGCTGATCCGCTGAACATGGATATCAGAGAGGTTCAAACTAATATCGCCCCTTCTAAGTCTGGTTTCGAAACCTCACAATTTTTGCAAAGGGGTCAGCCACTGAGAAGTCATGTATGAGGTTGACATGATGACTTCCGATTACTCTGTCATCTGAAGTTCCAAAATGAAATTCAGCATTTTGGAGTCTACTCCATTCTGCCGCAGGCGCCAGCGCTGATCAACAAACCAAT